TTAGAAAAAAACAAAAATAAAAGCCGAAAGTACTTGTCATGAGTTTTGTATACTTTGATTGCTTATAATATTGGTTTTGATTTTGAAACATTTTCAATTCAAACAATAGCAAGGAACACGTGGTTGAAAGAAGATATTGTTCCAATTATTTCACACAATGATAAGGTTAGACCTCTTAGTATCAGTGATCATATTAGACAATGTATTTATATAAATATATTCCCTTATTAGAAAATCGATTACTTTTATTTTATTCACTTCCTCAAACTTCAATGAATTATTTCTATCAAGCGAAATAGTGAGAAAGGTTTAACATCAAAAGTAAGTTATAATTGTTTTGTCAATATTTATGACTCTTAGAGACACATTTAATTTTCAATTTGAAAAGATCAAGTTTATCGTGTGAGCTCTTTACCGTCTTGCCTGGTTAACTCAATGGCCTAATTCAGACGGAGTTTGCTAATTTTAAGTACTTTCATTGTTTTAAATATATAAATACTAAAGCATGAGCTCTCTTTTACAGAATGTTGTCATCCTTTCCTAGCACTGTACAATTACAATGCTTGTACACCTATGCTTATCGTATTAATTGTTAAAAATTTGATTTTATACTTTAAGCACTTTCTCATTGACTTTCTTATATATAACTTAAAGACAATTATACGTTAATACCTGACGTTTTGTTATTAAGATAATTTATTTAATTTAGATAAGTGTCATTATTTTATCTGGAACTCGAAAATAAAACGTTGTTATAGATGATTGTGCATACTATATGATATTATAGTTAACAACATATAAAGTAGCATATAGAAGCCCATTATCGATGAAATTGCAAATTGTCAATTGCCCCTCGTCATTTGAATAAATAACCAAAGATGCGTCACTGAAAAATCTTAAAGCACTTTGAAATATAACTGTTCAAATATGGCCTGTGTAAAGCTGATCAGTTTCAAGATTGGGGGGGGGGGATATTTTCACGCATTGAAATGTTATTAAATAACGCGCAGGGGTCAATTTTAAATATTAAAAATTGATAAAATTCTATTGAAAACGATATCCGTTGAAAAATTGACTAATTGGGTAAATCTTCAAATGGTTCAAAATCAAATGTTACACTGGCTTGGATCTTTTTGATCAACTTTTTAATTCATTATTTAAGCATTTAATGATGTTTTCCTATTACAAGTGACTAAAAGTGACTACATTTAGCGAAATTATAGAAATCGTGCGCCTGGGTAAAAGAGATTTATTCATAGCTTATTTGTTAAAGTAAGGAAAAGGCAAGTTGGGCATCAACATGTTTCGGCAATACGATGTTTTATTTTATATTGATATTTGATAGTTAACACAATATAATTTTAGTTGTGAATACGAGTACAACTGCATATTTGTAATGTTTTATAACTTCCTTTTTTGCCTTTGGATATTTACCTTTAATCCCCTTATTTGTGAAACATTTTCCCATCTATTCAGATGCACATATTGTTTAAAATCAATGGTACCAATACATTAATGTTAAATGATCTTAAAATTCTTACGTTAAGTTTCTTCTATGTTAGAGATATTCAGTTACTATAAAATTTCTTATATGTTAGAGAAAGTAAACTACTAAAAATATTCCATGTTAGAGATATTCTTCTATGTTAGAGATATTCAATTACTGAAGTTCCTTATATGTCAGAGACATTCAAGTACTTAAAAGTTCTTATATGTGAGAGATATCTTGAATTTGTCAGCAGGAGAAATTGTTGACGAATACCTTAAAGGGACTTATTTTTACGTTTATGAAAGAAGTCCAAGCTATTATATCAGTTATTTTGGTATCAGCATAAATTAACACTTTTTTTAAATTAGTTTAGTGTCAAATGTTCCATCAATGATTATAAACGGAGGGTACTTGATAAGTTCAGATTTGTTGGCGTATTTTCTCTCGATATTTTCATGAGCATGTGTAAACTTACAGGAACGTGAACGTCATGATCGGTAGTCTAGTTATTTGTGACAAAATATGTAACTCAGTAAATTCTTGTGTAAAATTTAAGTTTAGTGAGTGTTTACTTAAAATAAGGCGATCACTTCAACATGGAAAGAGATATAAACGCAATGTAAAATGTTTTGTGGGAGGAAGTATGGTTTGAAAAAAAAAAAAAATATTATAGATAATTTAAAGATGTTATAATACGTAATGCCCACATGGAAGATCGGGAAACCGAATGTGCTAGCCTTATTAAATAAAGTCGTTACTTACTAAAGGGACTCAACACGGGTTTTATTGACATGACAGGATCGGAAAAAATAAGTTTTCGAACGAAATTTTCTATTTGCTGTAAGTCCAGACCAAACACATTTATGCAAACCTTTTAGATCATTCACAGACTCCAGTTTTCCAGAATAATGTTTTAAATGTGAAAAAATGACCAACGCTATTCACTCAAATTGGGCTAGTAGCACAAATGTACGATGGTTTTTCAAGTAATTATGATTATATATTTTAATTTTATCTTCCACATCTTTCTGCTTAAAATATCCACATTGATCTATGTCAGAAATTCAAATGTTATGTTTTTATGCATCATACCTCAGGGGAGCTTCTTCAAAGTGCTTTCAGTGTGATATCAAATACATTTAGATGATATAAGTCTTTCAACAATCATTACGACTAATACACTAGCAACGAATGACCATATCATTCCTTTGTAACATTTGAATATTATAGTATTTAAATTAGAGATAAGTGTAAATTTTAGTGCATGCTTAATTATGAAGTTTGTTTAAAAAGAACATGCATAACAACTTTGAAATTGAATAACTAAACTTCAGTATATACAGAAATATCTTAAGCTCTATGTAAAGTAATCATCTGCAATCAGACAATCATCTTATTAATAAATAATATTATTTTTTATGAACATCTATCTGTCATAATTAAAAACATTTTCTTGTGTTAAATAAATTCTACTTGTTCACGGATTTATTGTACAATTTATATTCACAAACAATTTAACAAACGTTGGATATCAAAATTGAGATATACAGTTTGAAACATAATATATTTGAAATTAGATATTGTTAAAGCATGCCAAAATGTTTTAGTGTGGTTAAGAAACATTTAACATTCGTTACAGTATGTTGGTTTTAACAATATTTTATTTCAATCAAATATATTTTCACAATATTATTACAATCAAATGCAAAAATGATTGAGTATGAAGCTAGAGTTACAGTTCATTCGCTTATTTTCACATACCGCAGGTTTAATGTGTACTGAATTGGAACGTTAGGAAACAAGGACGATAAATAATACTTCGTTACAAAAATAAATAAATGCCTGGTCTCACAGTTTATTATTTATTCCTATTTCAAATAATGATCTACATGTATTTGTAGTGTCGTGTAGTTTAAAGGTTTTTTTTATAAATGGAATGTTTTAATGTTGTGTTGAAATGTTTGAATTCGTTTAATGTAGGGCAATTAACGAAATAAGATATTCTTCAAGCTGTTGTTAGGACTGTAAAAAAACTGTAGTCTAAAATTAACTGTGCAATATTACATTTATTTAAACTTAGATTATTATTACTTTTACTTTAAATATTGCGTATCATTGAAAATGGCACGAAATGTTTGTTTGTTAAGGCCAATGTCTATTGTCAAAGGTGAAAACAGCTTGTAGACGGGCGTAAAAAGTCATACTTTTAATGACACAGGCTCGAAAAAAAATAAGAATGAAATTATAAGGTCAGCAGATATGATTACAGACTGTAATAATTATAGTAAAAGTATAAATCGTTACATGTATTATTTAATGATAACTGCAATACCAAGTAATATAAACGTATGAGAAAGCAGAACTTCCATTGCGACAACAATGTCAAGATGTCGCTTTTGAGGGGTAAATATGAAGTCTGAGTTTCATGAAAAGAACAGATAAAAACATACTTATTTTACAGGATTATGTGAAGATTAATTAATGCTTTTTGAGAGTTATTTAAGTTTAAATAAAACCTGTCAAAACTGAGCTATGATGCTTGTTTTGCCTTTTAATACGAAATCATAAGCTATACAGAAAAAGACAAATATTTTTGAAATATTAATAATTTCAATTAAAATTGTTGATTTTATGCTAAGTGTGCGTTTTTCAAAAGTTAAAAGTAAGTTTTATAGTATAATAAACCATTTAGTGAATAACTTGCCGCAAATGACCGGTTGTTCTTCTTTGTATATCTTTGTATCTATATGTGTTAACAAAACATGCTGATTTTCATAAGTGTCTTAAAAGCGTCCTTAATTTGCGTATCTATATAGACGATGCAATAGTTTAAATACCAACATCAACAATGATCTAGTAAATAGAATGAAGGGCTTTGATATCATGATAAATATTTGCTGTTTAACAACACAAATTGATAACAAGAAAGAGATAAAAACAAACATATCATTCAATATCACACATCACTCAATATCTCATTCATAAAGTTAAAAGGAAGTCTAAAAAATGCATTTTTAAAAATAAATTGATGGGAACGCCTCTCTCAAAGTGTCCTAAAATTGTCCTTCAGATTTAATTCTTGAGGACAATGATTGCTATATCTTTATTCATTTTTATGTTTTCATGAAACATTTTTGTGTGGTGGCATGAAGGAGTGGTAAACACGTCCGACTAGTCATCTCAGGATGTAAAACAGCATAAGTTAAAACCCCGTCAGAGGCAATCCTTGTTTCTTTGATCAAGCAACTTTACACGCATTGCTTAGTTCCATTGAAGGATTCGTATTTGGTCAATAAAGTTATAACTCCTTACACAATCGAACTAAATAAGTTCTGTATGAACTGTTTTTTACTTCGGATAGATGATCTATATTGATTCGATAGCTGAAAACTTACCTTTACCTACCAGTGCTGAACAGTAAATTATTTAACATAGCGTATTTTTTTACATTTAATGTCAACATGGATTTTCTGTGATAAAAGTAACTGATCCCTTATATTTTCAGAAATACCTATTTTTGTGGCATTACCTAATTCTACAATGTCTAATCGTACTAGCGGCTCAGGGGTAAGCAGATTTCCAATGTCTAATCGTACTAGCGGCTCAGGAGTAAGCAGTTTTGCAATGTCTGATCGTACTAGCGACTCAAGGGTATTCACGGAGAGAGAGTCTAAAGGCTCAGTGGTAAGCAGATGCCTTATATCTAAATGCTTCACATTTAACATTTCATGTAATTTGAGTTAAAATTTGTAAACAAATTTATCATGTTACCCGTGCAGACTTTGCGACTCCGTAACATGATATGCATTGCACTTCCGTACATACATTTTGACGTAACGTCATTTGCGTTATACTAACACTGTCTTAAAGGCACGAAAATTGTTAGTGTTGCACTACAGACGCGTAAATGAGAACGATTCTTTTTTACTTTCAGTCCTTATTTTGGGTATGTTATAAATATTGTATTATATTCGTGAAGGTTTATTTATTTTACTGAAATTATTTTACTTGTTAAATAAATTAAGTATTAAACTTACCTAATATCGTCTATATATAATATTCCAAAGTGTGTTATCTTTATATAATTATTTACTTCAATGTAATTCTGGTATAGCTTTAAGTAACTGATTGCTTTGACATTTGTTCTAGTCAGCATTTAAACAGATCGATCCCCGATTTGTACGGTACTACATAAGTATTTTGATCGTCATTCGTGAGGTCAAAATAAAGAGGATCTTTACTTGATAGCAGAAGCAAAATATGTATATGTTTTATATACATAGTTTGATTTTCTTTTAAAGTGAAAGAAAAAAGCAAATGAATATTTATGAATAACAGTATTGTCAGACAAAGATTAACATAAAAAATACACGAACAATCGAGATTCTAAATAACCATTCAAAATTATGAAGTGTAGTATCATTTCAGATTGTAAATATACCAATAGATTTCTTCAGGTTTTAAAAATTATTAAGTAGAAAATATTAAAACAACACTACATAGTTTTCGAAAATAATGAAGTTTAGTTTAGAAAAGACAAAGAAATGGTCAAACCTTGCATTTATTTAATTGCCAGTGCATGTACAATTATAAGATTTCATGGATCAGCTGGACACAGTATAAATTACATTCTTTACGTTACTAGAAAACTGAATATGCTCATTATCAAAATCTCGTTTCATTTTTAAGAATTCCAGTAAAGCAAATAATGTCGCTTATTTCAGGATTCTTCTTATTTGACAGTACAAGCAGGGAGTGGGTCAGATGTGTATGAGTATAGCCCTATTGTAACTAGGAAAGTATACTTTAATGAAAAAAATAGAATTTCGAGAGAAAGAATAAGGAAGCAAACAAATTACTTCAACGCTGAACGGTTAAAACAGGCAAACGCAACTCAAAATCGAGAAATTGAAAGGCAAGCAAAAGAGATAAAAAGACTGAAAGATAAGATAGAAAAGTCTGAAAAAGTGCCGTTTCAATGGGCAATGCAAGACGAAAAACACAAAAATGAGTATAAAAAACTATCGCGTGAAATTGCAGACTATAAAAGAGAAATAAAAACACTTAGGGGACAAATCACAGAACTTGAAAAAGAAAAAGAACAGCGAATGAAGACTGAAAAAGAAAAGAACCTAAATTCATTCTTAATGACTTTTGTAAAGAACACTGAGGCTACAATAACTGCTTTGAGAAATGATCTGATGGGAAAAATGGACAAGACTGAGAAGAATTCACAGAAAATGATCCATGAAGGGTTTCAAAGATTGGAAAATATTATTATTCATGGGCAAAATGGTCAAGATAAAGAAAAAGAAAGAACCAAAAGCAAAATATAATTCCGCCAATTACAACAAAGTAAACGAAAAGATACAATGGAAAATGGAAGCCTTGAAAATAAAAAATCCATTGACTCTAGCGGTGCCATAAAAATGTATTTTTCCTTTATTCATTTACAATGGCATCAACAGTTGCATCGCTCGCTTTCCTTAAGCAATGGTTAATTCATGTCATCCAAAAGATATTTCTACAAGCATTTTAAATTAGTGGCGTACAAATCAATAATGTCATTACATTTTTATGCAAAATAAACACGTCATTACTAGTATGCATGCCGGAAACACACACTAGCGGAATGTTATGCAACTTATTTTATGTTTTTAAAGTTATTTTGTTTGATTTCTAGCATAACTTACGTAAATGATCATAGATATATAATTAACAAAATAGATAACACCTTTTTCCTTGAGCACGTACGTGTAGAAGTAGCTTAAGCAGTCCTGGGGAAATTTGACACTGATATCTATCTCAAACCATCCACGAAAAACAATTTTGAAATGTGTTGCATGAAAATAATCTTCCATTTTACATAATTTATAAAAAATACTCTTATTTGGCATATTCATTTACAAGTTTGCTTTTTATGTTTGTTACTAATTTAATGATATTGATGTGTCCCAGGTATCAGGCATTAATTATTAATTTACTGTGAACTGTGTAACAATTATTTATAAAGAAAACTTACCTTCATGAATTTTACTTAATCAGTGGGTTGTGAAATCCAGTACCAGTTGTAGACTTTAACATGGCATAATGAAAAAAGAACTGTGCATTGATATTTAAACAACACACTTAAGCTCATTTAAACAAGTTATACCAATGGTATTATCTGTTTGTACATTATATGTAAAAAATCCTTCTCCGTGATTCTTTGGCTGTAATTGTTTGTAAACAATCCTATTAATCTTGACTTTAAGCTGCCATAATTCCTTAAATGTTTGTTTTTTCTATGTAAAATCTGATTTCCTCAGATGAAGAACGACATTATCTAACAAACTGCCAAGTAACTTTGTTAAAATCCACATATATTTCACTGTATTTTCCTTGAAATGTAATTTTCATGTGTTGGAAATTTACTGTACGCCGGCAGTTTGTACTTTGCATTATTGACTATTTATAGCTGTTGAATCAGTCACTAGTAGGCAGAAGATGTTCCGTTTTGGTAGAGAATTTTTGGAAATAGTCATTATTGTATTTGCTTATAGCTTTTTTATTGTAAAATTTTCCTCCATTAAAGTTAAGTTCAGTCCGATCAGTTTATGATCGTTTCCGATCATTTTTGTATGGCAGCCGTCGAGCATTTTTGGTTGATGATCGTTTACAATCAGTCTACAATTCCAACCACCTTTGGGCAGTGGTTGGGCGTTTTCATATAAATATGGCGAAATCAGCCGTTTTAGTCAGTCTAGTCTTGTCTTTCTTAGAAGCAGCATCCTTTTACGCTATCTTAGAAAATTTGAAACATTAGAAATTTTGGCGGCCATTAAACTTATTGCGGTCTAGCGCCATTAATTTTAGTAAGGAGGATTCTTTACAGAGAGACGATTTATTTACAAGATACTCATTTTATAAGAATTTACATCATAATTACTTACTGTACGTAATTTATAATTAATATTTATTGACTTTGAACATTACTTTGCTGCTGTTATTGATAAATGATATAAGCGGCTACGGTTCACTGACTTGCATATATTTTTATGGAGCGCCGTTAACGTCTTAATTTAATATGCGATAATATCAGTGAAATTTTGATTTAATTGCACCCTGTGCTGTACTACAATAAATTATTCATAAGTATCAAAAGTTAATAAACTCATATGTTGTAGTAACATCTTAATAACTCAATTCTTTGTGTACTTAAGTACAAATGAACATTGATCATCATTTTACTAGTTGCAGTGACTTAGATATTATATTGTGTGTTGACATTTATTTATACACAAAATAAAATTTGTTGAAGTGTTACAGCTGATTTGTGCTACATTTTTAATATAGATATATGGTTCAACTGCTAGTAGAGGATTCATCCTCAAAGTCTTTGCCTAATTAATTCGAACCATTAGTACAGATACAACAATTAGTACAGTTACGCCCCTGTAAGATTGTAAAAGATAGCGCTACCTAAAGTAGATTAACAAATACCTCCTGCTAAAGCCCTGTACTGCCGGCACGCGACAATATTTCACGATTTTGTGGCCCTGTTGCATATATTGAAAAGTTAAAGACATAAACCCTTAACAGCAATGTAAAAGTCTTAGTAACAGGGACAATCTTGTTAATACCCCGGTCACATATTCACGGAATACGCCCACGGAAGAGCCACGGATTAATTCCGACATCGTCCGTAGCTACCCGTACTGATCAGTAGCTCTCCGTATCGTAACCGTAATCAATCGAAGTACATGTAGTCCTTGTATATCCGTAGCGATCCTTGACAATTTTTGAACATGCACAAACATTTGCTACGGAAAAATCAATCGAAGCGTTTCCCTGTTAGTCCGTATTAAACCGTACTGATACGTACTTGTCCGTACGAAAACTGTACTAGTCCGCACTGATTCGTAGTCCACCAACTTGTCAAGGATTTCCACGGTTTGGTATGGAGAACTACGTATTTGTACGGTTACCCTACGTATAAGCTACTAAATCGAATTAATACGGCATTGTCACGGAAAACAACGATCGTAATACGTTGTACTACGGAGAGGCAAGGATTAGCACGGTCTTATACGGTTTATTGCGTTGCAACACAAAACGGTATGGAATGGTATGGTCCACCACTGTTTTGTACGGATGAATTAAGTATCATGTACTTTTTCAAGGGTATAAATACTACCTTCTTGTTAAAAACAGACATATTTGCGGAAACATTCAATAAATGATAATTGCCATTTACTAGCTGCAACTTTATATTGAAATGGCTCAGAATGCGGAGGCAGTGGTCGAGCTGCAGGATGACATGCATAGAGGTAAAATATATGTAAATATCGGACTACAATTCATAAGTAATATAATAACATTTAATGTTACATATTTTACAAACATTGGCTCGTGAAATTGGAGTAAATGTGTATATAAAACGAAGTGTCACATAAGCCTCGGAGTCTCGGACGCTGGCCCTTGAGGGATAATAAGATTAATTAACAAGTTTTTACATATTTTGTACATAAACATTCACGATAATTAATGTAATTGTAAAATGAACAGCAAATCTTAAAATTAAAAGAGAATCAGTATTGATCAACATTTTTTATTAATGATTACTAATCCATATCTAATCAGGTAAGAGAAGACAGACGAGATGGTGGATTATAGATGGGCTTTTACGAAGACCGCTTCATGTTTAGTATGAAACTCCAGCGTCCTTCAAGAAATTCACTTTAATCGAACCTGATGTGTCTCGGGTTCGGACGCGATTAGGCCAAAATCATTGAACTCTGCAATTCGTTTTCTAGGTGTTCTTTTCTTGTGAGACATTTTGAAAATCAACAAGCAAGATGTTGTGGACGGATGTATTAGGTCCGTATAGATCCGTGGCAATTCGTTCTTCTCCGTATCAATTCGTTCTTCTCCGTATTAGACCGTACTTATTCGTACTAACCCGCTTATACCGGAGCAGACCGTAGTGTATCCGTTGTGCGTCCGTCCTGATTCGTGTCGTTCCGTATCAAACCGTGTCGGTCCGTAACAATCCGTGTCTCTCCGGGGGCTTTTGGTGGTAAATCCTTCGGACTCCGTACTCAAACCGTTGTGTATCCGTACCGGAACCGTAGCGGACTACGGAATTTCACATTTCCGTAGTAATCCGTGAACGATTAGACCGTAGCTCTTCCGTGGCATTATCCGTGAATATGTGACCGGGGCATGAAATCGTTTCTTATTTTATACATGTCTATTAAAAAAATCCACTGACATTTGTGATTTTTGTTAGTATTCGAGGAGATTTGTACATTGTTTGATAAAGTCTGAACCAAATACCTGTGCACAAATATCAGAGCATTCGCTCATTTTGTCGCTGACTAACCAACAATGAATCAAATTCTCAATATATTTCTTGATTTCCGTGTGCATGTATTTCAAAACTTACTTATTTACTTTATAAATAATCAAAAAATAATAACAGATAAATCAATTATTAGCGGTTTCGAAAGCACCATGATAACAATTTACAGATTGTTTAAATCCATTCGTTGTACCGCTTTATTTGTACGTGGTGTTTTAATCAAAACTCGTCAATATTCCATGTTAGGCCAGATCGTCAGGCAACTATTAGATCAACGAATTTTGTGTGATCCTTCAGGTTTAATCTGTAGTCAGCTGTACTCGGCCAACGTTTTAAGAATCAGTAACGTTTTGAGTAACTATAAGAATCTCTATTAGAACGTGTGTCCATCCTAGCTGATAAGATTATGCAAAAATGAAATTGAAAATAAAACACTATCATATTTTCTTGAATTTATTGATGAACACATTTCAAATTGAAACATTGCACTATTAGTAATTTATGTCAATAATATATTTGTCTAGTTTATTATCTTTTCTTATTGACACATCTTTAACATGTTTAAAGTCCTACATAAGCCGGTGCTGAAGGTATAGACAGTATTAACAGACTCATTTAATCGAGCCTGCAACAAACTCATCTTTCGCGTGATAGGCAAATTTAATGTTTGAAGGATTTATTTGTTGTTTATATCCCTCATCAGTTAAACGGCCTTCACTTCAGGTTTCTTACGGTCAATTTTTTTATTTTTAGATAAACTTTTTCATATAATCTTCAAATCAAAGAATTTAGATTGAAAATAAATGTAAATAAATAAATATATGTAAATAGATAAATAGAATTATAAGTAGACAATAAATAAATAATTTAATTAATTAATAAAAACAACAACAACAGCAACACAAGCAATAACAAGAAGCATGGGCCATTCACTATTATGGCAATTTACTACCACATGTCCTTCATTCAAGCATTTAAGAAGTATACTTTTTTATTCATACATTAAATTTGCAACAGAAAATATCTTTATACACACAAAGGAAGACTTGATTATTTCAAAAGTCTCTCATTCCGTTATTTATTAAACAAAAGGTCATATCACGTTTCTAATTTAAATAACACCAAATACTTTATTTTAATTTTAACAGTATAAACAGTTTTATTTTTCAGGTTTCTTCATTTTATCAGATTTATTTGTGTACATGTTACTATCTAATTTCTGCAACTTATTTCAATTGTGTTGCTATATATATGTCTTAATATATTTATACGATTTGATTTATTTATCGGTATCTTTTAAAGGGTCTGTACCATCATATACCCTTTTTGCCTTTACAAATGGATATTTTCCTTAGAAATGGCCGAATTTATAAATTTCATGGCTTAAAAACAACTTTGAATTACACCTTTTTAGATTTTTTTTCCTATTAAAAATATTAAATCCTTGATCTTATCTGACGTTTAGTGTAATGATATGTTAAACGACCAAGTTAAAATATTTATCGATTTTATATTGATAGATTTAACCTTATCTTTCCTATTTTATTAATGACATCAACAAACTTCAAACTGTGACGATAACTATACAGCTATGATAAATAGATAAATAATTAATTAATTAATTAATTAATAGTTTTAATTAATTAATTGTTTTCATTTATTAATTAATTGTCTTGATTAATTAATTAATTTAATTAATTAATTAATTGTTTTAATTAATTAATTAATTTAATTAATTAATTGTTTTAATTAATTAACTGTTTTAATTAATTAATTAATTGTTTTAATTAATTAATTAATTAATCAAAACAACACACATACAACACCAAACCATAACATGATAATACAAATCAAAATTCTAACCAATGTGAATGAAGTGATGGTGCTCGTGATCTTTTGAAAAGTTACTGTTACTTTGCTATCATTGTGGAATATAATAAAACCACAGCTTTTCAATTTTAGTAAATATTTATCTCACGATATTATAAACGGATATTTTACATTATAAACAGAAAAATCGTTTAAAAAATCTATATAATATATGGTTTTACTTATTTTGAGTCTTGAAAATTAGCAGGAGATTTAATAATTTATCACATCAATTATATATTTACCATTTATATTTACCCTTGTAATTATTAAGTTTCTTTATCATATAAAGCATAGTTACAACTTTCATAAGGATTGCCGTCTTATCCTTGAATGTTCCTTTTGTAAAAGTTACCATTCTTTAATGGTCGTGAAGCTTCCATCTAATTCAATCCTATATTTATAGTTAGTAAAATAGAAAAATTCA